TCCGGGGCCCCTGCCGGGGGCCGCCTGCGGCGAGCTCTGGCCTGCGGCCGGCGGCAGTAACATCAACATGATCTACTTTGCCTGGTTACGCTCACGGCAGCCGCAGCCACATCCTCCGCAGCTCCTCAAACATGGGCGTCCCCAGCCCCGTAACCGGATCCCACCCGCGCACGGCAGAGAACCCCGAGCCACAATTCGGATTCGACCCGCGCGTCACATCCGTCAAAGCAGCAGGGTTCTTGTACAGCACAGGATTAATAAACCCGACCGCGGTCTTGCCCACGCGCGCTCTCTCCTGGTTAATCAGGGTGATGACGGCGCTCCACAGCAGTGCGGCGAGACTAGTTCCGAACAGTGGCCGTCAGAACCATTCGTAAAGGCGCGGAAATTGGCCCCGTTGGCTGCGACGTCGGGGATCCCGCGACCGGCGCGATTATACAGGCCGCCGTCGGCGCCGATATTAGATGCGTTGTCGTCGGCGACGTAGAAACGGTGGCCTGGGTCATGGCGCGCCAGGTACGACTGCACGGCGGACCGCTGGTACTCCGGGGCGGGGAAGTAGTTGGAGAAGCCGCCTCCGCTGGCGAACAACTCGGTGCCGGGGAGGGGCGTCTGGAGCGCGACCTCGGCGTCGTGGACGATGGAGCTGGGGCTGAGCTGCGTGGCCCCGACGGCGGTGAGGTACGGGCACGACACGGGTTGCCGGGGTTGTAGATGGTGTTGGTTTGGCCGGAGCCGTTGAGGCAGGCGTTTGCGCCGGGGCCGATGCCCACGCCGTAGTCTCCTGATGAGACGAGGACTGTGGTGCCCTGCAGCCCGAGCTTGAGGAACTCGTTGCACTGGCGCTGCATGTACTTTTTTGGCACGTCGAGCTCGCTCTCGCCGTAGGAGATGGAGATGACCGGGGCTGTCGCCGGTCGTATTGAAATCCGTCTTGTGGCAGTGTCCAGGGCGTCGAGAAACGTGTCTGGGAACCCCGAGAGGTTGCTCTTGCTGGAGTAGTAAATGTCGTCCACTTGATACAGGAGCATCGACTGCGGCAAGATGAAGGACTGCACAATGTCAATGTCAATGTCGGATTCGCCTCCGTTTTGCGGTGACCGGAGTGGCACCGGAGCCTGAGCACCGTCTACAGAGTGTGGAGCGGGATGAGTTCCGTTGGGGATATATGGTGTGTTACTTGTGCAAGTAAGAATCGATGTCGTCTTGTGAGTACGTGTCCCCAGTCTCATACACGGCCGGCTCGTATCCCGGGACAGGGGTGCTGGCGAACGGGATCTGATATAGGGCACGATAGCACGCTGCCGTAAAGTTTCGTGCGCAGTCCTGCAGGTCCGGGGGCAACTTTGGGGGTGGAGGGACCTTGCAGGGCGGCTTCTGGGGAGACACCTTCTTTGGCTTCCAGCTCTTCCTGTTCTGCGCAGAGATTCGCTTCCCAAGCGATCTGGCCTTGGCTGAACGTTTCACCATGACGGGCGACAACTTCACGCCGGGGACAATGTAGTCAATGTGCTGGGAAGGTGCTTCGGGACGCACTCGTCGCAGCCAATCTTGACTGCCCCGTCGCGTCCATGCTCATGGTATCGGGTTTAGAAACAGCTCCTCGGCCTTGGACACGGGGACGTCCAACGCCAGCCAGCCCTTGTTGGTGTAGTGGCGAATTTGCGTCCTATTGATGCCCATGTCGACAAGTCAAGAGTGAACGGCAGTCAAGGTCTCGTCTGATGGGGCAAACAAGGCATGAACCTCGTCTTGGGCAAGGTGCTTGCCAAAGTACTCCGAGTCCGGGTCAGACACACTAATGAGCTTGCCATGGGCCTCGTGGAGATTGGACTGCGTCAAGCCAATCCGCAGCGGTATGACTGCATTCGGATGGATGCGATTTCCACGTTTCCATAGGTGGTTTTGGCGACTATTGAGAGCTATCCCATGTCGACTCAAGCTCTGTGATACAAGGACCAAGACGGAAGGCTGAATTGCTTCAATTGGCCTGCGGGAAGCTGTGTAACGACTTTGTTCGCCATCATATATATATGTGTGTGTGTGTGTGTGTACGACGCTCCCGGCTCGGCTGTCCACACAGATGAACCCCGTAGATGACATCCATAAACTCCATAGATAAGCCCCATCATCCATCGTCACGTCTTCTCCATGCCGAACATCCGGACATCTACCGGGGCAAGCAAGCATCAACGGGCATGTAACTGTAGCTCCAGCCGCGATTTCTGTCGACCTGCCGCTTCGGTACAAGGCCCCAACCGCGATCGGCACGGCATCCGCGGCAGCTCGGCAACGCTTGCCGACAGCTGCGTCGCTATTGAATTTGCAATGAACATGATCGTGATGGATCGTGATGGATCGTGATGGATCGTGAAGTGAGCCTTGAGAAAATGGTCAAGGGTGATGAAGCTGGAGTTGGGAGAATGCGGGGTTGCAGAGGTGATGGACGCCACCAGGCACACCCGCCAATAGACAACCAATGAAAAACAAGCTTGTGCCAGCCACTTGACACCAGTTGACTTTCAACAACCCAAACACCACTGCCATATGCCAGCACGACGCACCGCGCATCGCCACTCGAATCGACATCCAAGATGCAATGCAACGCATTCATTCACACCACATCAGGAACAGTTCATTATAAAAATCATAATCAAATTATATGACCATCAGCCGACACGGATTCTATCCGCGCAAAACATACCCTATGCCCAAGTCTACTCAATGCCATTACCATCGAACCCGACCCACCAAATTCATCATTTCATGCCAATTTTTTTTTGTAACCTCGACTACCCATCAACGATGACCGGGTGACGGACCCCGCGACGCTTTATGCGACAAACCCCCCACGCTGTGAGGCGCAGATGGGTGTAGTCCCTCCTCCTCTTCTGGGACAGGAGGCTCATGGCTACGGCTGACGCTGTAGAAGCGTTGCGGCATGCCCGTCTGCGCTTCTTCGTCAAACGGCCCTGCCCGAGGGCTGTGCGCCGAATATCCTCCATGCGTCTCCGTTGGGCTCAGAGTCTGGAGACCGTCGCCGGCTTTTCGCCGTCCGCGCTGGCTTTCCTTCTTCAGGAGCTCGTGGCGGAGCGACTCCATGTCCCTCGACCGTCGGCGGTCTTCAGACGGCGATTGCTGCGACCGGTCGTCGCGGAACTCACCCCAATTCCCAGAGGTTTCCACGGCCAATGACCGCGCGTTGAGTTCCGCCGCGGCGTGTTCTTCGGCGGCACGGTGTTCGGCTTCTGTCTGGCCAGTTTGGAGGGGGACCATGCGGCCAGCGTCCTTCTCCTTGGCGGCGGCATCGCGGCTCTTGGACGCCCACTCATCCGTCACGGCGACCGAATAAGTCGGGTTGGTAGGCCCGCCCAGAACCTCAGCACCGCCTCCCGGTCCGTAGATGGGGACCTTCTTGAGAGCGAGAGCCAAGGCGCACATGAACTTGGAGCGACGGGTGGCGCGGACAACACCATTGTGCCAGTTTGACTTGTGCTGGATGGAAATTTCCAGTGTGAGCTTGTCGAGGTTGCCCACTCCGCCCACGCCAATGGTGAAATCGGGCTTAAAGTCACGGGAGTTGTCGGGGTGTCTGACAAACTTTTCCATTTCGGCACGGAGCAGTTCAATGTCTTCAAAGGACGTGTCATACGACACGTCAACTTGGAAGGATTCCGTCATGGCCTTGCTGCGCGAAACATTGTCGATCCAAAGATTATTCAGCACAATATTTGGTACCTTTTTGGCCCTCCGTTAGTTACGCCAACACTGGAAAAAAAAAAGAGAATAATTCTGCGGCGGCCTACCTGCGTAGACTGGTTTTGGGCAGTCTTGGTGAAGACGGTGTACAACAGAGAGATTCTCTCAACCAGCATCTGCGTGCCACCAACTTCGACGCGATCGCCCACGTCGTAGGGATGCTTGACAAAAAGAAAAATGCATGAACCCAGGAACTCCTGAGTGGTCACAGCAAAGACAAAGGACAATGAAAGGAGCGCAGTTCCAGCCGTGGCAAGATTGGTAACAACGCTGCTCTGGAAAAAGACGACTTTCAAAACTGTTAGCAAAAAGAAACTCGACTCTCTCCAGATTGAAGAAAAAAAAAGGAAAAGAGAAAAAGAAAAAGAAAAAGAGCAAGTGACTTACGAAAAATTAAAATGGTAATCAACAGAACAACAAACATCAGGACCTTATCAAAGACTCTGAGGGCCTGCCCAATATCCTTCATACCTTCGCCAATGGCCTTGCGCTCTGTACCCATTTCAACCGTCTTGCGGACCATCTCATCAAGGCTGATATCGCCGTTCAAGTCTGAATCTATCATATTAAAGGCCTCTTCAGCCTCTTGCTTGTACGCAGGGCCCAGAACCTCCTCGAAATCTTCCAGGTAAAGGGCATCCTTGCCCTCGAGGACAAAGGACATCCAGATGCGTCTGCCCAGGGCTTCGGACGGGAGCTTCTTCTCAAGAGCTTCAAGAACAATGGAGTGGGCCGAGTTGGGGTTGAACACTTGCTTTCCGGTAATCTCCTTGGCAACATGGCCAACCACAGAAGTGACCTTGTCTCCGAACCGGCCAACGTCGCCGATGATCCTCATAGGTGTAGCAGCGCCGTTGCCGCCCATGATTTTGCCCTTCTTTCCGCGCAGCATCATCTCGATGCTGTCATTGATGATGTAGTCTTCCTCGGCAAATTCTTCGCAGTACATGGGGAACAGGGTTCTCGAGGCGTCGTAGAGGAGCCCGAGGAGGTGGATTTCACGCTTGGAGGCCTTGATTCGGTTGGCAAAGGAACGCTGGTGGTAGGAAACACCAATGAGCTGGACAAGGGCCTTTTCGGCCAGAAGCACGGCCAACGACACAAACAAGGCACCAAGCACTCGCTCCATGTTCTTAACCCAGACGACGTTCTTGGCCAAGGCATCGTTGAAGAGTCCCTTGAAGGAGAGCCAGGCCGCCAGAGCCCAGAAGAAGAGCGACAGAGGAATACTCAGGTTCTTCAAAACAGTGGCGTACTTTCGGACACCCATACTGACGATGCCGCAGAAAAACATAAAGACCTTGGGAAGCACCCAAGCGGCAATCTTGGCCAACCAGAGGGCGCACCAGGTAATTAGAATCCAAAGAAACAGGTAAAAGAGGGTAGGGCCATCTCTTCCGCCGACAAAGGTGCCGTCTCCAAAATTCGTAAAGCGAAAGATCAAAACTGGCACAGCCAAGATGATGCCCACGGGGACAATGTAGACCATGTAGCGAGTGACGACGGAGAAACCGACAATCTTGGCGTAGAGCCTGCCCAGGGCATTCACGCTAACTTCTTCAGAGCCGGCGGTGCCTCTGCGGCTCAGCTTGTCGTCGCCCTGTTTTCGTCGACGTCCCGCATGGCGGTGATGCACTTCGGATTCGGTCTTCTCAAAGATATTCTCCGGGGAGGAGTCGTACGACGTCGTGTTTCCGGTATTGGCCTTGCGGGCTCCGGTACTAGAGGCGTAGCTTCTGACCGTGGTCAGCGGGATGCCGTTGTCGGTCATTTCGGTTCGCGATCTATTTCCCAGCGGGAGAAAGCCCGAGTTTCGCGACGCGAGAGATGTGTGCCTAGAGGGCATCGCAAGAAAAAGGAGAAGCCAAGCAAGCTAAACAACAGCGCTCCGCCTCCTTTTCCAAGGAGTGTCCGTTGGGGCAGTCACCTCAGGGGCGGACCGTCCAATGTATCGTTTCAAAGAGCAGAGGTGAAACGGCTGTACTAGGTGAATGGCAGCGGAAGGGGGTGGTTCGTTGTAAATGGATGTTGATGCAAGATGGGTTTCTATGTGTATAGATGTAAGCAGAACTCAGGAATCTGTAGTCGCAACTGTCGTCATACGCGTTGGTCGGTGAAAAAAAAAGTGAGTGATGGCACAACAGCGAATTGTGATGGATATTTCTTCAGTCCTAGGCCATGCAGTCGTATTACTGAAGCCCTGCTTCTAGTTGAGTTGAGGACGTACTGGCCAAAGCACAGAGGTAAACACCTTCACGCCTGGTGGTGTAATAACTGCGAGCTGAGTGACCAGTTTGGGTGCGTTATCATGCGTCACCCGACGAGATGATGCTCGACCAAGGACGGAATCTACGAAACCACAATGACGCCACAAGTAAGAGCAATGAGGAACAAGGAAAAGACAGCAAGTAGGAAACGGATAGGATGAAAGAGACGGGCAAGGTAATAAATGATAGCAAAAGACCACAAAAAAGAGGGTGGAGCGCAAGAAATGCAGATGCTAGGGGGAGGCAAGGCCAGGAAACACAAGACGAAGACGTGGATGCAGATGTGGATGTGCGTGTGCGCATGTGTATGTGGGTTAGAAACGAGACAGTCGTTTAAAGCCAAAGTATGCACGTACTGGGTACTAGGTTCCGGCGTAGTTTGTACGGAGTACTTGGGCACATGGATATGCGGGTACACGGGGGAAACGGGCACATGTATTTTGT